AGCAAAAAGAAGGTCAGAGAAGGGTCAAGAAAGACCAGGGTGTGGATAACAGGCCCTCAGACCAAACACCCAATTTTCTGAGGTGACACCCTGGCACAGCTTAGGAGGACACAGGTCGATGGAAGAGGCACCCCGACGTTCCAGGCTTGGAGTCTCTGGAGCCCATTTTAGCACCCACAGTAAAATTCACAGCAGAATTGACCACACCCCTAGAAACCATGTGTGGGCCTTTGTGAACCAGTTGGAGCTCCATTCAATTATATTCCATTTAAGAATTAAAGAGCTTTAAAAACAAAACAAAACAAAGTTATACATAGTTTAAAGAACCAAATAGCCTTGTATCAAAATATCAGTTGCTGAACTCTTTCCTGCTGAGGCAACTGCTTCTAACTTTGGTTAGATGAGTGTCTTGGTATTAATCTCCAAATAGTTTATTAAGCTCTAAATAACCTGTGTATATTGATGCTGCCTGATCTTGTCCCTGTTAGGTATTATCTATTGACTTTCCAACACGGCAAACAAGGTTTAGCCCTGTTTACCCCACCCTCCTCGCTACCATACACGTCTGCCCACTTCCCACTCCCCCATCCTCCCAATATAGTTATGTCATATTTTGTCAGATCAACTTTCAGTCTTCACATTGCTATGACTATGTTCATGTTATTCACATCTGAGTCACTTAACATAACCATGGGTGGTTGTTTTTTTGCCCTTTCTGCTGTAGCTTTTTATTTTCTACCAGAATTAATAACTGCCTCTCCCCGCCTGGCTTTATTTATATTTCAGGGTTAGTCCAACCTCTAATTGTAAAAAATTCCCCCTTAATTGTATAAACCCCTTCTCAATAGTTTCAAACACAATTATATTAGTGTCATTTTTTAAAATGTCTTTCCTGGAGTCTTTTGACTAGCTTCAGTCTGAACAGGCTGCTTTCTATGCCTGGCACATAACTGGTATTTTCCTTTATCATGATCTTGGTGATTTCCGTTGCCTGTCTTCTGTGTCAGACTCCCCGTTCCTTCAGTCTTACATCTTACACTCTAGGTTTCCCCTCTTGTTTTGGTGGAGGACATCCTTCAGTAGCTTCCCCAGAAAGAGGACAAGGCAGTACTCTTTTTTTGGAAACTTCGCATGTCTGAAAACATGTGATTCTCTTCTCATACGTTTTTCTTTTAGTTGTTTGGGTACAGAATTTTAGGCAGGAAACGGATTTCCTTCAGAAGTCATTATTCCACTGACTTCTGGTTTCCACGTTTAACAACTACTCTGATGACCTTCTATACCTGTTTTTTTTTTAAACGTTTTGTGAAAACTGTTTTAACCTCTGAACATCTTTTGGATCTCTTTGTCCAGGTTCCTGCAATTTTATGGTGATGTACTGTTCAAGACTGAGTGTGTGTGCAGTATAGCTTATCTTACTAAATGCTTCGGGGCACACAAAGGTATGCACTAGTCTTTAGGAGCTGGGAATGTATGGCAAGTGTGGGAAATAGGGAAAACAGGATATTGGTGAGTATGCAAAATCACACATATAAATTATATTTAAGATTTGTAAGGATAACATTTTTTACAAATTCCAATTGTCGGGTTTTTTTAAAGAGGGACTACTCCAGGGTCTCAAAATGATTTATTTCATTAGCAATTTAGCCTTTCTATGCTTGCAACAAACACCATGCTTCCCACATCTACAGCCCCTGTTGAGGTGGTGGGACATTTTGACATAGTCCCGCTCTTACTGCCTGGAATAGCCGTTAGCCTCTAGGGGGCAGACTTTGCTACATTCTGTCAGGGGGCTAGGAAAGCTTGAGTTCAATGCTGGCGGCGGGGGGAGGGGAACGGGTGTCGATTGGGATAAAACCAGCAACCAGGACCCCTCTTCAGAAGCAATCCCTAAACTGTATATCTCCTTTCTCTTCAAGGTGTACCTATAGATACCTGTAGATATCATCAATAGATGTAACACACAGTAAACTGTTCAATAAATGATTTTTCAGTGGATGAATACAAAATACTTTTCTCTATGTGACAGCTACCCAATATTTATATAGTTGTCCACCCCCTGGTGGGAATCATCTAAGAGCACTATCCTGGTGGTTGCCAGAATATTATCATTGAAAACAATTTACACACATTATCTTGTTTAATTCACAAAATGATGAAGCAGATGTTTTTAATCCTCACTTTATAGATTCAGAAACTGAAGGATAGAGAGGTTAAGCAACTTGCTCAATATCCCAAAGCTCATAATGGCAGAAGAGGCCTTTAAACCCTTAAACCTATGGATTCAGAGCTCAGAACAGATCCCATTAGCTCCATCACAAATAGCAACCCCAAATATCACTTGAATACCAGGTTGGACCACTTGAGATTTGTCACCAAACTGAAGCCTTTGTTACCCCAGAGGAGCACAAAGGAGAGGCTGTGTGAAAGGGAACTTGGCAAACCTATCTCGCTGTGGCTTGTTCTGGTGTTAATTAGCTGTGAGACTGAGTAATACACTCCAACTCTCCAGACTTCAGTTTCCATATCTGTAAAATGAAGCTAAGAATATACTATGAAGAGTTTGGGCAAAGGTCCATGATGATCAGAAAAACTGTGAGGGGTCTCAGAAGACCTTCCAAGCAAATGGAGGTTTTGTGCTCCCTGGAGAATGACGGTGTGGATATAATGAGAGTTCCTGTGGCCAGGATTCTCACCTGGCCCTGGTTGACTAGCTCACTGCACACCTGTGGGCAATACATGGTTGTTGACTCTATAAAAAAGAGCTCTGCCCAGTGCTCTGGGTGCGACAGGGTGGCAAGGCTGCAAGGCTGCAGGAGAGCAGAGCAGAGGCTGGAGTAGTGGCAGCACCGAGGACAGAGTCCCAGAGGATGGCCGTGTGGGACGACTGTGCAGAGAGGCCCAGAGGACACCTGTGCAGACAGAGGCACCCAGAGGCAAGGGTAGAGACCAGACTTGCTCAGAGTGAATGGGATTTTAGTGACTGACCTGCCACCTGGAAATAAAGTTGGGCATAACCCTTTCACCCCAAGAAAGTTTTGCTGTCAATTTCTTTGGTCACATTGGATCCATAGCGAACTTGCCCAGGGCTGAAACCCATTGGCAAGACAGATGGGAAACACTGTTGAAATTTTGAGAACAGGGGATGTTAAATTAGTGTATGAATTCATAATAGGTATGAGTTTCTTCTTCAAACATTCCATTATAATCCAAGACCCCATAATATCTGACAAAAAGTGGGTGCTTCCAATCAGTGTTCCCTCTCTTGGGAATCAGTAGTTCTAACCCTACCACAAGTGCACAAACTTGTCTACATGTTGAGATGACCTAGGGAGCTTTGAACATGCAGATGCCCAGGGCCACTCTCAGGGATCATCATTAAGGGTGTGGCTGAGGCATTGGAAATGTTATGATTCCTTCAGTGGGATTCTAATGTGCAACCTAAGTCGAGAACCACAGCCCCACGGCTTTGAATTCTTCATTTTTGATCTGAAGATTAAAAAGGAACACAGAAGAAAAACAATGGCTTTCAAACTTTAACATGCAAAGGAATGAAACACCTGGAGATCTAAAACGCAGCCACTAAGTCTGTAGGTCCCAGGGTGGGCCTGGGCTGCTGCTCTTGAAACAAGCTCCCAGGGGATGTCCATGCTGGTGTCCCCAGGTTGCCCCTGTATAGCTAAGCAGTAGCTTGAATGAATACAGATTTGCCTGAGAAGTATATGTCTTCCGGCCAGCTGGGACCTTAAAAAAGAAGGTACTTCATTTCTAATGAGCCTTGATTTTCCAATCTATAAAATTCAGGCAAGCCAACTGTAACTACATTGCAGAATTCTAGTGATGCTCAAACGAGATAAGACAGCAAACATGTTTAGCACAATGCAACGAACATTAGCTTTTTAATTGTTAGGCTAGCGGGCACTCATGGAATTCTAACCATCTGCCAGGAATTTGCAAAGTGCTTTCAGGTGTTAACTCTTTGGAGCCTCAAAACAACACTGTGAGGGTGGGTACAATTTCATCATCCCTATTTTGCAGATGAAGAAACTGAGGCACAGAGAGGTGGAGTACTTTAAATATACATTACACACGTAGGAGTAGCTAAACCAATGTTGGACCCAGAATCTGTTCTCTTATCCCTCCCCAGGGCTGAAATGGATCAGAGCCAACCGGCACTTCTGCCCCACAGGCCAAACTTCCTACCCACCGGAGTGGGCTGGGATCGGCAGATGGCAGTCTAAGGCTACGTGGGTGCAAAGAGCCCTTACAGATCCCGCTCAGATCCCGCGCGGTGCTGGGCATTTCACCGCACAACCGCCGCGAGCCTCAGCAGGTTCCGAACTCCTTCTCTCGCTCCACCCTCAGGTCCTCGCCCGAAGGCCAAGCGGGGTTCCATCAGGAAAGAAGAGCCCCTACCGACCAGGTGCACATCTTAGTTCCCCAAGATCAGATCACGTCAGCAGGGAAAGCAACGAGGAAAGCGAGTTTTCTGTAATTCCCCTTTACTGCAGGAGCTCAACCAGACCGGAAAATCTACAAATCTCTCTTCATACGCAAAGTTAAGCAAGGGTCTGGGAACCCAGCCAAGTGGGAAAAAGTCGAGAATCTCTCTTGGATTCCTCAGAGCACTTTGGAGGCGCCAGGCTTCGGTGCACGAGCGCAGGGGATGCGGCCCGCCGGCGAGGAGACTCTATTTAGAAGATTACCTCGAAAGTGCAGGGGGGATTTTCTTGCCGGGACCCCTAGGCCGAGGCAAATGAATTTGAGGGGCAGTGCAGGGGTGGGGGTTAACTGGGAGGTTTCCATGGCGCCCGGGGCGTAGGGAAGGAATGCACCCCCGCAAGCTGTGGCGAAACAACTGCGCCGTCGGGCCAGCGCGGCTCTAGAAGGCCGAAGGGCGGGGGTGGGGGCAGGGAGGCCGAGCTGGACGGGGGCGGGGCGGTCACGTGCGCCCCAGGGGGCGAGGCCGAAGCCGGACCCAGAGCAAAAGGAGTCCAGTTGAAGTGGCTGCGCAAGGAGCGAGCTGTTTCCCGGACCGAGGGACTGAACGTAGCCTGATCGTCCTGGGAGGGCTCAAGGCACCGGCGGCCAAGACCGGCTGAGGCGTCTGCGGCCGGCCTGGGGTACGGCGGTCGGGAGCAGGGGACGCCAAGGAAAAGCGGTAGCAGAAGCCCGCGGGTGAGCGCAGGGGCTCCACTTGCAGCTTTTACCCAGGCTCGGGTCACCGTTTATTCTGGGACGGGCGGAACAAGTGCCCGGGCAGCAGCCGAGGCAACTGTCCCGTAAGAGTGTGTGAATCCTCAGCCACTGTCCATGGCTCCAGGAGAGGCTGTGGTCGTGGCGAATGAAGATCCTAACCAACAGCAGAGCGATGGCACCCCTGCGCAGGAGTCCACCCTTCCGGAGGACCCACGCGTCTCGGCCCAGCCCAGCATCTCGGCCGATCCCAGCAACTCAGCCCACCTCGGCTTCTCGATCCGCCCCAGCATCTCTGCGCACCCAAGCAGTTCGGCCCACGCCGATACCTTAGCCCAGTCCGGTGGCTTGGCTCACCCCAGGAGCTCGGGCCTTGAGAGCCTCAGCGTAATCAAGGTGAGCAAGCGCCGTTGGGCGGTGGTCCTGCTGTTCAGCTGCTACTCCATGTGCAACGCTTTTCAGTGGATCCAGTATGGCTCCATTAATAACATCTTCAAGCACTTCTACGGGGTCAGTGCCTTTGCCATTGACTGGCTGTCCATGTGCTATATGCTGACGTACATCCCTCTCCTCCTGCCCGTGGCCTGGCTGCTGGAGAAATTTGGCCTGCGCACCATCGCCCTCACTGGCTCTGCTCTCAACTGCCTGGGCGCCTGGGTGAAGTTGGGCAGCCTGAAGCCACATCTCTTCCCGGTCACCGTGCTGGGCCAGGTCATCTGCTCTGTGGCCCAGGTCTTCATTCTGGGCATGCCTTCCCGCATTGCTTCTGTTTGGTTCGGGGCTAATGAGGTTTCAACAGCCTGCTCCATAGCTGTCTTTGGCAACCAGGTGAGTAGAGGAGTTTGTGGGTGTTCAGAGGAATGGGATTGAGTGTGTTACATTGTGCCTTACTGTATCTAACTGGGTGGGGACTGTAATTTTCTGACTTCAGCAGTGCTTGTGACTCTGGGTGACCTTGTGGCTCCATGCAACTGACCGTGTGAGCAATTGTGACTGGATGACTGTGTAAGAGAAGAGAGGCATAACAAAAGAAGTGGACCTTTACCTTACTCAGGCAGTTTCTCCTCCAGCAGAAAGCATGCTTCTAGAACATAGGCTTCTTTTATGATCTCATTCCTGACCCTTTCACACCATCAGTGTAGACTTTGGGCTTCAGGAAAGCTGTTCTTTCTCAGGGAGGAGCAGCCCTTGGTTTTAGACTCTTCTAGTGTCATCAGAATCTGGCAGGTGTTTTTAGCCTGACCAACCAGCTTTCCTAGAGCTCAGTATCTCCTGTACATAGAATCACAGAGTGGTGCCCTGGGGGTGGTTGGCGCTGTTCTTACCTTCATATATACACAGCTGAAGCCAGGGCAGTGGGAACAATGCTTGTGCCAAACACTGGGGTTTACAGCCAAGTGCAGCAGGATAGAGTAGAAATCTTGCTCTGAATTTCCAAAGCCTAGGAACTTTTTTGGAAACCATGTCTTAATCCCTTCTCTTTCCTTCTTTTTGGAAAGAGAATCTCAAATTCTTTGCATCTCAATGTGGTTATGACCCAGGAAGTTGGACAGGTTATGAATCTTTTGGCCTTCCCCAAATATTTGAAGCAGATACTCAGGGGGTCCTTCTTTATCTGGACCATCGCTTCCGGGTCTCAGTTCTTGCCAAGCACATGCAGTTCTGGCCATGTGTCTAACAAATGACCAGTAACCCTTAGTTCTGATAGTTCTGTTTTCTCTTACCTTTTCATTGCATTTAGAAAATTTAACCATTCACTTAGACATTTCTCGTTTGGGCCAGAAATTTCCAAAACTTCTCTAAAGGCACATGTCCATTCTGTTCATCCTCACCACCAGCAAGTTACTTGAGTTAAAATTTCCCATGCCCGAAAGTGCTGCTGCTTGGGTACTATGGTGTTGAGTGATCAAGGAAAAGAGCAAGGCCTTCTTGAGCGCACAGACAGGCAAATAAAATCCTTTACCCAGTTTTCTTTCACCTGTGGGTGTGAATTCTGAACATTGAATTGATTTGAGGCTGGGGGAGGAAACAAGATGGATCTTTTGTTTACCGCAATTAGAAAAATAGGAATCGAGGGTGACATTTACTCACTCCATAACCACTAAGGTGATGTGACTGTGGGTTTTAACATCCTCATTGCAGCCTTGTTGGTGGGTTTGGCATTAATTGGGTTTTTCCTTTATAGGAGGGTACAGCTGGCAGGTGAAGGACAGGACCTTTCAAGCTTCCAGAGCTTAAATTCCTCTATTAGCAGCAGAACAGGATTCAGACAAGGTCACCGCAATCCCAAACCCATTGTTCAATTATACCAGGCACTAAGATTCAGATTAAAAAAAACAAAACATCAGAATATAGAGGATTTATTTTCAGTTCTCAAGATTTTTAGTATCTTCTTCGCCTGATAATTTCTATGGGGAAAGTGAAGGGGAAGGAAGCTAATACCTTCCAAACACCTGTTATGTGCAAGGCACATCCATTGTTTAGTTTTTCAACTTTGTGAGGTAGGTGGAACTGTCCCCATTGTTACAGGGAGGAAATTGACACGCAGGTAAATGAAACAGCCTTATGCAGGGTCTTACTGCTGTTGAGTGGTCTAAGGGGGATTTGAACCCAACTTACTCCCTCAGCCCATGTCAGTAGGCCAATGATGAGTCTTTATGTAGATAAAGTGTGTATTATTACAAAAAAAGAAGGCAGGTTCTGAGGTTCAAATTTTGCACCTGCAACTTGAGGGTTGTTGTTGGTAATAAAGTGTCCTGTGATTTTCCCCAGAAATGGAGGCCTAGCACCTGTCTTCTGTTCTGAAGTTCCGGACACATTATCATTGCCTCCCCACCTGCTGCACTGTAACCTGCCAAGGGGCTAATTCGGTCTCTTTGAGCCTAGCACAGCTAGAGGCACAAGAAGGTGGGGCTCCAGTCTCTGCAAAGATGAAACCAGGGACTCCTGAGCTGGGAGGAGAGAGAAGGAGTCTAAGATTGCAGCTGAGGCTCTTCCCTTTCACTCTGGCCAGTTAATTGCACAGGTGATAACAGCCTGGCCTCTTTTAGCAACTTGTTCCATTGTTTCCAGGGAAAATGGGCAGCAGGGTTTTTGACTGTTGTGGACACATTGTTATCGCCCAGGGGTTTGGAAGAAGGCCTTGTACAGAGCCTGGTGATACTTGCTGGCACAGGGCAAGATTGATGTGGTTGCAGGAAGAGATCTCCGAGTCAGTCCAGCCCCAAGGAGGAGCCTCCAGCACTGAGGCTGGAAGGGACTTCCTCAAAGACCCCTCAGGAGCGCATAGCACAGCACCATCCAGAAATAGGGTAGGAGAGAACCGGTTTGCTTTTCCAGGTAAAGAAAAAACAGTAGTTCCCCCTCATCCACGGGTTCTCTTCCCACGCTTTCAGTTACCTGTGGTCAGGTCAACTTCAGTCTGTATGCAGATGGTTGTCCAGATGTACCAATGGCAGGTCATTCGTAGCCCTAAAGCTATGTCACAATGCCTAGTCATTCACCCTACTTCAGGCCTGAATCACCTGGACAATTTATTATCTGACGTCATAACAGGAAGAAAGGTGGGTACGGTAAGATAAGTACCGTGTGATGTTTTCAGAGACAGAGACCACGTATACATGACTGTTATTACAGTGTATTGTTATAATTGTTCTATTTTATTATCAGTCATTGTTATTAGTCTGTTTGCCCAGTTTATCAATTAAACTTGTCCATAGCTATGTATGTGTAGGAGAAGACACAGTATGCATAGGGTTTGGTACTGTCAGCAGTTGCAGGCATCCAGTGGGGGTCTGGGAACATATCCCACACAGGTAAGGGGGACTGCTCTACAGTAACCATACAGAATCAGTTGTGTGACAGTCAAGGCTGGCTGTGCTGTTGAAAATAAGATTGTCCAATAGAAATATAATGTCAGCCACAAATGTAAATTTTTTTAGTAGCCATATTAAAAATAGGTAACATACAAATTTTAAAAAAGTAAAGAGAATGGGTGAAAACTAGTTTTAGTACTATATTTTGTTTAACTCAATGTATCCAAGATATTTTGACATGTAATCAATATAATAAAATTACTGACCTTTTTCACACCGAGTCTTTGGAAATCGGCATGTATTTTGTCTTTAGAGCCTAGCCATTTTTCCCCAGCCATGATGGGATATGTTCAATAGCTAGGTAGGACAGTACAGGTCTAGAACAATGATGCTATTTGTAGAGGAGGAAAAAGTTTTCCTCGACCCTCTTAGGGTACCTGGTTGGGCCTAACAATGAACCTGACAGAGACTGATTAAAAGGAGAATATCACCCAACCTTATTTAATGTAATTGCATGTGACATGAGAGCCTTCATAAGGGAATGAAGGAACAGACACCTGTGTACTTCCGTGCTAGTCTGATGGAGGGTGAGAGCGGGAGGAGTATGACCGGTTAAGTAGCATGAGGTAACTAGGCACCTGGAAACCGAACAAGGCCTGTTTGTTAGGTAGAATTCTTCGTGACTTCCCTTTGTCTCAAGAGGTGAGTGTCACCTCTTCTCCAGGCATAGGGAGAACACCCCTCACAGGAGGGCTTTCAGGCCTGTTTCAGGGAAGGAGGAGGAGGAGGAAGAGCTCAGAGGGACCTTCCTGCTTCTGCCATGTTCTCAGACTTCTTCAGCTTAAAATATTCAATGTGCCAAGGTGCCATATGTTGGGGTAGCACGCCCAGAACCACATCGGATTTGAAGCATTTAGAAATCAGATTCTAGCTGATAAAGGTGGGCTCCAGGAAACTGAGTCCAGCCCTAAGGAAGTTGGATCTGCTGGACTGACTGATCATGTGGTGGTAACACCCCGAGAGGGCAGGTTTCCACACCCCAGGAGCTCGGGCCTTGAGAGCCTCAGCGTAATCAAGGTGAGCAAGCGCCGTTGGGCGGTGGTCCTGCTGTTCAGCTGCTACTCCATGTGCAACGCTTTTCAGTGGATCCAGTATGGCTCCATTAATAACATCTTCAAGCACTTCTACGGGGTCAGTGCCTTTGCCATTGACTGGCTGTCCATGTGCTATATGCTGACGTACATCCCTCTCCTCCTGCCCGTGGCCTGGCTGCTGGAGAAATTTGGCCTGCGCACCATCGCCCTCACTGGCTCTGCTCTCAACTGCCTGGGCGCCTGGGTGAAGTTGGGCAGCCTGAAGCCACATCTCTTCCCGGTCACCGTGCTGGGCCAGGTCATCTGCTCTGTGGCCCAGGTCTTCATTCTGGGCATGCCTTCCCGCATTGCTTCTGTTTGGTTCGGGGCTAATGAGGTTTCAACAGCCTGCTCCATAGCTGTCTTTGGCAACCAGGTGAGTAGAGGAGTTTGTGGGTGTTCAGAGGAATGGGATTGAGTGTGTTACATTGTGCCTTACTGTATCTAACTGGGTGGGGACTGTAATTTTCTGACTTCAGCAGTGCTTGTGACTCTGGGTGACCTTGTGGCTCCATGCAACTGACCGTGTGAGCAATTGTGACTGGATGACTGTGTAAGAGAAGAGAGGCATAACAAAAGAAGTGGACCTTTACCTTACTCAGGCAGTTTCTCCTCCAGCAGAAAGCATGCTTCTAGAACATAGGCTTCTTTTATGATCTCATTCCTGACCCTTTCACACCATCAGTGTAGACTTTGGGCTTCAGGAAAGCTGTTCTTTCTCAGGGAGGAGCAGCCCTTGGTTTTAGACTCTTCTAGTGTCATCAGAATCTGGCAGGTGTTTTTAGCCTGACCAACCAGCTTTCCTAGAGCTCAGTATCTCCTGTACATAGAATCACAGAGTGGTGCCCTGGGGGTGGTTGGCGCTGTTCTTACCTTCATATATACACAGCTGAAGCCAGGGCAGTGGGAACAATGCTTGTGCCAAACACTGGGGTTTACAGCCAAGTGCAGCAGGATAGAGTAGAAATCTTGCTCTGAATTTCCAAAGCCTAGGAACTTTTTTGGAAACCATGTCTTAATCCCTTCTCTTTCCTTCTTTTTGGAAAGAGAATCTCAAATTCTTTGCATCTCAATGTGGTTATGACCCAGGAAGTTGGACAGGTTATGAATCTTTTGGCCTTCCCCAAATATTTGAAGCAGATACTCAGGGGGTCCTTCTTTATCTGGACCATCGCTTCCGGGTCTCAGTTCTTGCCAAGCACATGCAGTTCTGGCCATGTGTCTAACAAATGACCAGTAACCCTTAGTTCTGATAGTTCTGTTTTCTCTTACCTTTTCATTGCATTTAGAAAATTTAACCATTCACTTAGACATTTCTCGTTTGGGCCAGAAATTTCCAAAACTTCTCTAAAGGCACATGTCCATTCTGTTCATCCTCACCACCAGCAAGTTACTTGAGTTAAAATTTCCCATGCCCGAAAGTGCTGCTGCTTGGGTACTATGGTGTTGAGTGATCAAGGAAAAGAGCAAGGCCTTCTTGAGCGCACAGACAGGCAAATAAAATCCTTTACCCAGTTTTCTTTCACCTGTGGGTGTGAATTCTGAACATTGAATTGATTTGAGGCTGGGGGAGGAAACAAGATGGATCTTTTGTTTACCGCAATTAGAAAAATAGGAATCGGAGGGTGACATTTACTCACTCCATAACCACTAAGGTGATGTGACTGTGGGTTTTAACATCCTCATTGCAGCCTTGTTGGTGGGTTTGGCATTAATTGGGTTTTTCCTTTATAGGAGGGTACAGCTGGCAGGTGAAGGACAGGACCTTTCAAGCTTCCAGAGCTTAAATTCCTCTATTAGCAGCAGAACAGGATTCAGACAAGGTCACCGCAATCCCAAACCCATTGTTCAATTATACCAGGCACTAAGATTCAGATTAAAAAAAACAAAACATCAGAATATAGAGGATTTATTTTCAGTTCTCAAGATTTTTAGTATCTTCTTCGCCTGATAATTTCTATGGGGAAAGTGAAGGGGAAGGAAGCTAATACCTTCCAAACACCTGTTATGTGCAAGGCACATCCATTGTTTAGTTTTTCAACTTTGTGAGGTAGGTGGAACTGTCCCCATTGTTACAGGGAGGAAATTGACACGCAGGTAAATGAAACAGCCTTATGCAGGGTCTTACTGCTGTTGAGTGGTCTAAGGGGGATTTGAACCCAACTTACTCCCTCAGCCCATGTCAGTAGGCCAATGATGAGTCTTTATGTAGATAAAGTGTGTATTATTACAAAAAAAGAAGGCAGGTTCTGAGGTTCAAATTTTGCACCTGCAACTTGAGGGTTGTTGTTGGTAATAAAGTGTCCTGTGATTTTCCCCAGAAATGGAGGCCTAGCACCTGTCTTCTGTTCTGAAGTTCCGGACACATTATCATTGCCTCCCCACCTGCTGCACTGTAACCTGCCAAGGGGCTAATTCGGTCTCTTTGAGCCTAGCACAGCTAGAGGCACAAGAAGGTGGGGCTCCAGTCTCTGCAAAGATGAAACCAGGGACTCCTGAGCTGGGAGGAGAGAGAAGGAGTCTAAGATTGCAGCTGAGGCTCTTCCCTTTCACTCTGGCCAGTTAATTGCACAGGTGATAACAGCCTGGCCTCTTTTAGCAACTTGTTCCATTGTTTCCAGGGAAAATGGGCAGCAGGGTTTTTGACTGTTGTGGACACATTGTTATCGCCCAGGGGTTTGGAAGAAGGCCTTGTACAGAGCCTGGTGATACTTGCTGGCACAGGGCAAGATTGATGTGGTTGCAGGAAGAGATCTCCGAGTCAGTCCAGCCCCAAGGAGGAGCCTCCAGCACTGAGGCTGGAAGGGACTTCCTCAAAGACCCCTCAGGAGCGCATAGCACAGCACCATCCAGAAATAGGGTAGGAGAGAACCGGTTTGCTTTTCCAGGTAAAGAAAAAACAGTAGTTCCCCCTCATCCACGGGTTCTCTTCCCACGCTTTCAGTTACCTGTGGTCAGGTCAACTTCAGTCTGTATGCAGATGGTTGTCCAGATGTACCAATGGCAGGTCATTCGTAGCCCTAAAGCTATGTCACAATGCCTAGTCATTCACCCTACTTCAGGCCTGAATCACCTGGACAATTTATTATCTGACGTCATAACAGGAAGAAAGGTGGGTACGGTAAGATAAGTACCGTGTGATGTTTTCAGAGACAGAGACCACGTATACATGACTGTTATTACAGTGTATTGTTATAATTGTTCTATTTTATTATCAGTCATTGTTATTAGTCTGTTTGCCCAGTTTATCAATTAAACTTGTCCATAGCTATGTATGTGTAGGAGAAGACACAGTATGCATAGGGTTTGGTACTGTCAGCAGTTGCAGGCATCCAGTGGGGGTCTGGGAACATATCCCACACAGGTAAGGGGGACTGCTCTACAGTAACCATACAGAATCAGTTGTGTGACAGTCAAGGCTGGCTGTGCTGTTGAAAATAAGATTGTCCAATAGAAATATAATGTCAGCCACAAATGTAAATTTTTTTAGTAGCCATATTAAAAATAGGTAACATACAAATTTTAAAAAAGTAAAGAGAATGGGTGAAAACTAGTTTTAGTACTATATTTTGTTTAACTCAATGTATCCAAGATATTTTGACATGTAATCAATATAATAAAATTACTGACCTTTTTCACACCGAGTCTTTGGAAATCGGCATGTATTTTGTCTTTAGAGCCTAGCCATTTTTCCCCAGCCATGATGGGATATGTTCAATAGCTAGGTAGGACAGTACAGGTCTAGAACAATGATGCTATTTGTAGAGGAGGAAAAAGTTTTCCTCGACCCTCTTAGGGTACCTGGTTGGGCCTAACAATGAACCTGACAGAGACTGATTAAAAGGAGAATATCACCCAACCTTATTTAATGTAATTGCATGTGACATGAGAGCCTTCATAAGGGAATGAAGGAACAGACACCTGTGTACTTCCGTGCTAGTCTGATGGAGGGTGAGAGCGGGAGGAGTATGACCGGTTAAGTAGCATGAGGTAACTAGGCACCTGGAAACCGAACAAGGCCTGTTTGTTAGGTAGAATTCTTCGTGACTTCCCTTTGTCTCAAGAGGTGAGTGTCACCTCTTCTCCAGGCATAGGGAGAACACCCCTCACAGGAGGGCTTTCAGGCCTGTTTCAGGGAAGGAGGAGGAGGAGGAAGAGCTCAGAGGGACCTTCCTGCTTCTGCCATGTTCTCAGACTTCTTCAGCTTAAAATATTCAATGTGCCAAGGTGCCATATGTTGGGGTAGCACGCCCAGAACCACATCGGATTTGAAGCATTTAGAAATCAGATTCTAGCCGATAAAGGTGGGCTCCAGGAAACTGAGTCCAGCCCTAAGGAAGTTGGATCTGCTGGACTGACTGATCATGTGGTGGTAACACCCCGAGAGGGCAGGTTTCCTAGGCTGGTTCAGGAGTCAGGCTCATGGTGTGGGTGGTCAGCCTAGTTCAGTTCCAAAATGATGTTCATGCCCAGGCTTATCCTGGATCTTCTAATGTCAGCAGCCTTTCAAGGCAAGTGAAGCTGAAGGAGGGGAAGGTAAGCTCTTGTTCTCTTCCAGTGATTGTTGGTGTTACTTAAAGCAAAGTGCCTGCCCACATGGCTGACTGCTTTCTGGCCTCCTCTTATGTACTGGGAGATAGGAATTGGCAGGGCAGGGAGGACAGGGCAAGGCTAGTGGTGAATGAAATGAGATGGGCAGTGCTGGGACCATACCGTCAAGTGCTCCCGGGGGCCAGCCAGGTCATATAAGTGTGACATAGTAAAAGTGACCCTGGAGTGTGGTGAGGTCACAGCAAATGTCCCATCCAAAGGCAGCAGCTGCTTCAGCTCCTGCAGATAGTTGATGGACAAGGCATGGCCCAGTGTTGTCAGATTTTCTTCTTTAAAGAGAAACCAGAAATCCAGATTTTTATGTAAATTTTTTATTATGGTAAAACAGATATAACATAATAATTATGATTTTGACTGTTCATAAGGGTATGATTCAGTGGCATTAAGTGCTTTCTTTCACAGTGGCTGTTATGTAAGCATTACCACTTTTCATACCCAGAGCTTTTTTCTCATCCCCAAAAACTCTGTGCCCATTAAATAACAACTCTTCCCTCCTCTAGGCCCTACTAAACCTACCAGAAACCTAGTAACCTAGTATTCTATTTTCTGTCTCTATGAACTTATGTATTCTAGGTACTTCATATAAGTGGACTCTTGCAATATTTGTCTTCTGTGTCTGGGTTGTGAGATCTGTTTTTAAAATGCTGATAGGTAATTCAAAAGGGTTACTATTATTATTATTAAATACTATGTTTTGAACCTGGGGGTCAGACAAAACTTCTAGAATGAGATGGGAAGGTTATGTGGAAGTGAATTCCAGTTCTG